GAGAGAGAGAGAGAGAGAGAATGAGCAACTCTGGTTTCTTTTCCTCTTCTTATTAGGACACTAATGTCATTATGGGGCCCCACCCTCGTGACCCCATCTAAATCTAATTATAGTAGATCTTCATATAATGTCATGGTTTAATTCAGTGTCTTCATTATAACATTGGTAAGAAAAAGAAATCCTCACCTGTGTTGAAAGAAATGGCATTATTGTTCAAGAACCTGCTTTTGTGTTAAAAGTGCTATGTAGAAATTCATGGAAAACATAGACATTGGCCTCCAGGAACCTATGAACTGAAATGAGGCATTTCAGAAAATTTGCACATGCCAGTCAAAATCAAAACAAACTTTTAAATCGGATTTTATTTGAAAATCCTCACACCAATCTTTTTGCTTTAATTTGGATTTTCCAGTTTGCATATGTAGATGATCTCAAGTTATAATTTAAATTTAGGAATGTACTGAGGGTGAGCAGATATTCACTCTTTCCCGGGTATGAGGAGTCAGGATGTGAAGACGAGGAGACGCTGCCCAGCACTTCCCGTGAGGTGGGACATTTCACATCTCTGGTAAGGCCTTGAGTCGTGAGGGTGCCCCGCCATTAGGTGGTTAATAAGGAGGTGGGGTGAGGGAGGGGTAGAGTTCAAAATAGTTCTGTCATCAGAACCACCCTTGCTACCAGAAAGCAGAAAACAACACTGGAATTCTCAGTCCCCATCATCAAAAGATGCCCAAGCTTATGCTCAGAAGGTCATCTGGTTCCCGCTGCCTCTAACAGCTGGTGGAGCTGAAGCCTTTAAAGACAGAGAGACAGAGAGGGCAGAAGGCCACGCAGGTGCATGGGGGTGGGGTGGGCAAGTGTGGCCCAGGCATGACCAAAAGGGAGCCTCAAGAGAGAAAGGTAAGTTCTGTGCAAGGAGAGGGGAGGGCTTGGCCGGTTCTCAGTCCTACACCCAACACCCAATGACTCCTTTATTGAGTCATAGTAATTTTCCCAAAATTCTGAGTTCTGCCACTTCAGACTTTCAGCCTGGTATTTACACCCCCCCCAAGGCCTACACCCTTCACAGTCCCCTTGGGGAGTGGGGGGCTCCTGTAAGTCACCCTCTGTCACCTCCAGCTCCCCGGTTCCTTTGGTCACGCCTCTAGACAACTGTCATTCAAAAAATTGTTTCCTGACAGTTCCTTACTGTCTTGTCCAAGGAACTGTCTTTGCATTTACATTTGTAGAGGGTTTTGCTTTTGCACCTGATTTCACAGCCAGCTGCTCACTTAATCCTTGTAGCACTGCTGGTGAGGCAAGGGGTGTGTGTGTGATTATTCTCATTTCATAGTAAAGGGGATTGAGGCCGCCTTCTCGGTGCTCCAGTGTCCTCAGCAGACATGTGTGACCTCTCATGCCCCCAGCAGAGCTGCCTGGGCGCAGGTGCTACATTTTTTCTTTTCCCCTCTCTCACGTTTCCTAGAATCCCAATGGATTCTACCCGGCAGACTCTTCACACACAGGGCGGACGGGTGGTGGTTAATTGCAGGCTGCAGTCACAGCTTCGTGCTGCCTCGGCAGTGTCCCTCTAGGCTCCTTAGCTGATTTCCAGTGCGCTGCATGCCACTCCTGTCCCCCGCTTGCAGTCTTCCTTGTTCATAATTCATTGGCTTATCAGATTTTTAAAGGGACAGCCACTGGGAAGCTTCCATTTTATCCAAATGGATCTGTTTTGAATGATTTCCTCTTGCCTAAATGTTAGGCATCCATCCTGATAGGTTACAAAAATTAGTATAATTTATTTTCCATCTTGTCAGTGAAAAACAAAGGTACTGTTAAGACAAAACACTGAAGGACAGAACCCTTCCTCTTCTATTTCTTGAACAGGAGCAAGTAAACATGTCTGTAAACACATGTGGGTCTTGTGTGCATGGACCCACTGATTTCACTCTTAACTGGTTTTGTTTCAGTTGGTGTCAAGTGGTCTAGTCTTACTCAGAATGGAGATTCCCGTAACAGCTGGACTTTCATCAAGGCCCGTTTCAACTGCTCATAGGTCACGAACATCAGCACGTTCCAGGCTCCCAAACGCAAAAAGGAGGGTGTGAACCTGATGAGAAAAAATGATCAAAATCTCAGGCAGAATGCACCCCAGAGCCCCACACAGTTCTACTGTGCTCTCCCTTTAATGGTGTTGGAGCAAAGGACATAGACCCTGGTAGAAACCAGCACTTTTTGAGATTTGTTTGGGCTTTTCCTTCTCTGCTGCAGAAATGTAGGCAAAAGTTGGAGTCAGGAAAGGAAAGAAAAACTAACGATCTGAGCCTGGTCACTGCGGCAGGTGGTTAATGGTCACGATTCCACAGCTGCAGTGGTTGCCAGGTTTCTGCTTCAAAGACTCAGGCTACAGTGAGTCAGTCTCAGGGGATTCAAATGAGCCGTCTGACCTGCTCCTGGTGTCCCTGGGCTCACTGACATCCCAAGTGGCCACTTCTGAGGAGGCCAGGGCACGGAGGAGCTGGTGCACCGCAGGGCAGAGGCAGTGTAACACCAGCTTAGCTAATCTCCCAAGAATGCCCACCTCAGCTTTGCCTGCCCTGCCTCGCAGACCCGGGGAGGACTCCCCGCCTGCCCTGCCCTCTTCAGCCTCTCTTCCTGCTACCTCCTTCCTGTCCCCTCTGCCTCTGCCATGCTTATTCCCATGCCTTTGCCCACATTGCTCCTTCTGTTTGGATCTTCTCTCTTCCTTGACCGGCTGGCTGCTTTGGGCGCTGTAAGACTTGGGCACCTTGCCAAGTCTCTCTTGCACCCTCTGCCTAGACCCCTCACAGAGAGTACAGTACAGGGGCAATGAATGTCAACGCTGAGGTCAGACATGGGCTCAAATCCCAGCTCCATCAATTTCTAGTTTTATGAGTGACCTTGAACAAGTTACTTAATCTTTCCAGGCTGTTTCCTCCTCTGTAATATGAAGGAAATAAGTGTCTTATTGCAGTGTCATGAGGATTAAAGAAGTTATGTACTCCATATAGCAGTGGAGGGCTGGCATCTATACATGCTAATAAATGTCACCTATTCATCTGCTGCTCTTTCAGGGGAGTTTGGCATAGGCTGGTTATGCTGGATGCTTAATATGTGTTTACCAAGTAAAAGAATAAATGGAGACAAGTGGCTAAAGTTGAAGATGGTAGGAAAAGACCAGCCTGTATGATGTCATTCCCCGAGTTGAGGACCTGTCTGCTTTTTGAGTCCAATACTGAGCACCAGTTCAGGGGAGAGTTGTGATAATATATGCAAAGTGTTTAGAACAAGGCCTGGTGCTTAGTGATTTATCAATCATAATTTATGTTATTGAGTGCTAACTTTATGCTAGGGATTCTGGGAGATGAACGATGTATACATCACCTGTCCTTGGCTGCAAGGAGTGTGCGCTCTAGCAAGGGGAGGTAATTTGAATTTACTAACACCATAATACCAGACAGGGTGTGGTAGTGTTAAAGGGAAGGATGTCCTAAAGGAACTCTTGCAGAGTCTTGTGGACTCCACCCCCTACTCCAGCTTTCTGGACTCTCACCGCTACTCCAGTGACTGGAAACTACAACTCCCAGCAATACCAGGGAGAGAACTGCGAGGACCCAAGGGCGGAGCTAAGCAGGCATTCTGGGACTTTGGGGGATAAATAGGGCGACATTGCATCTCTCGCTCTCTCGCTCGGAAACGGCTCTCCGACCGTGTAACACGGGGCTTTCAGTTAGCTTGTTACCAGAGCTCCAAGTCAGCTGAGCCGGTAAGATATTCCAATTGTTGTTTCCTGTTCTTTCCCATTTTGTAAATAAACCCATTTTTTACCCTTTTGTGTGCGCCTGCAGTACAGCTGAATTTTAAGTGTGCAGGTGAGGCCCCACAGACAGGTGGCTCAGTTCACGCTGGGGTGCCCTGTAACAATTTATCCCACAAAAATGGTATTGAGGATATATGGTTAAAGTTCAGAGGGTGGAAATAAAACTGAGTCCTAAGGTGTTGGGAAGAAGGAAGCATTTGAACTAGACTTGAAGGAAGGCCAAGATTTCGGGTGTGTAGTAGGCCTGGCATTCCCAGTGGAGGGCCTAGTAACTGTCCAGACACAGAAGCAAGAAAATGTCGGGTACTTTGGTTGTCTAGTGGTGGTCCTTGGCCTTGGCAGGGGTCAGAGAAGTTTCTGCATTACCAACTCTTTTTCTCTCTACTCAAACATTTGGGGATTGACCATACTTTTACCTCTGCCTAGAATCTGGGTTCTCAGGTAAGACTTTCTGCATCTCCATTCAGATTTGGCCCACTCTTTTTATTTTTTTAAATCCTAATTCTTTGTCTTCTCCTCTGGGGCATTTATATTGGTGCTAGTCACAGCAGGTAGCCATGTTATAAGAGAAGGGAGGAGGGAGAGGAGGGTAAAGAGGAAGGAATGTGAGGCTCACCCCTTATAGAAGGCTGTGGGGCCCTCCTGGGCCACCATCTTCATCATACAGTCCAGGGGGCTGCGGTACTGGCCTGGGGGCGAGTTCATATACCGGGTCTTCACCACATCCACGGGGGAGGCCACCACTGTGGCGCAGAAGCCAGCCCCAAAGGCCGAGACAAAGTGGCAAGGGAAGTTGTCTGTAGCAGAAGGGAAGAGCAGACACTGGGCTGAGAGATGGGAGTGCTCTGCGCTCTGCTCTAGTGTGCTCCTCCTTTGTCCCCCACTACCCTGAACCGACAGGTCAGTAATTTCCATATTTCCACGACCCAGGGCTGAGCTCCTGGTTAGCATGGGCAGGGCAGAGCTAGCCACCTCAGAATTGGAAAGTTATGCAGTCTGATCACCTGGTTGAGGAAACTGAAGACAGAGAAGGTGAGAGACCCCTGCTTAAAGGTGGGTGCCGGAGTGGCAGCCAGGTCTCTAGCGTCCCCATCTTGGCTTCTTTCCTATTTGTTACGGTGATGTTGTGGGCACTTTTTAACCTGGCGCTGCTCCTTTCTCTGCTCCTTCTACATCCCAATTGCCTCTGGGTGGTGCCCACTCTGTAGAGATCCAGGTTCCCTCCCTGCTGTGGGAAGACATCTGCTTGGAACCCAGGGCCTCACCAGTGAGCAGGTGATAGTCTAGCAGCTTCTCCTTGATGATGTCGTAAGTTACCATCTCAGCACAGTTGACGATGGCATTCCTTGTGATGTTAGGCAGGGTTCCTGTTAGGAAGGGGGTAACGCTGATAAGTGGGCACTGGGAACAGTGAGCTAGGAACTGACTACAAGGGCTTAGGCTCCACTAGGGGGGCCATAGTGCCTGATTCTAGTGGTTTCAGAAGAGTCCACAATCCACACTTCTCTCCAGAGAACTTCAGATTACCTGATTAACTTCAACAACTTCAGATTATCCCCATCCACTTTAGAGTCAGAAAACAGAGGCCCTCTTGCATTTATTTGGTCCACATTTTGGAGGATAATCAACGTTACTCATGTACATTCAAATATCTCCCTGAGGGGGAGCTGGAGCCGGAAGAAGTCTCTCTTTGGAAGAGGCGGGTTGGTGTCTGGGACAGAAGTGGGACATAGCACTGGTAGGGTTGGAAGAGAGCATCAAGACCAAGCCCCCTGCTTTACAAATGAGGGCTGGGCTCTGGGACAGGGCACGGTGTGGCTCAGGTCTGCCCTCAACCTTCACTGAGTTGCCCTTTCTTCTGCAAGAATGGACACCCGGTCACATGTGGGAGAGACTCCAGCGTTTGTCTAGGCAGCTGCCGTGTAGTTGTGGAGGGAGCCCTGAAGTCTAGCTCCCAGAGAAGCTCCCCCATCTCTGCTTACCTGCAGCCCATGGCTGCCTCCTACTATAGCCTTGGTTTCTGCTCCATGATCTGCAGCCGCCCTTCTTAGGCTATTGCTTGGGAAGCCCTTCCTGAATCACGTTCCCTCTAGAGCCAGCAAGGTTTCTCCTGCCACTGAACCTGCACTTCTGTGTGAACCTAGCATATTCTGCAAGGTGGGACAGCTGTTCCTTGAACTGTCACCTCTATATAAGTGAGAGGCATGGAGGTGGCTTTTGCTGGTGTCTGTCTCCCTCAAGGCAGCCTGCACATTGTGAAGGGTTGGCCAGTTGAACTGAGCGTGGGGCATGGTGGCAGGTCAGTGAGAGATTTTGGTCGAGATGTTCTTTCAGAATCGCTGGGATTTCCTTTCCTCGCTCAACCCCCTGTCCTGTTCTAGGGTAGGGGAAAGTTCTGTCGGAAGCCCCTGAGCCTGGAGCCCAAACCTACCTTTCCACAGACCCCTGATCCCTTCCTCCCTGGCAATGGTCCTGTATGCATCCATTGTTCCTCTGTATTTCCTGTTGCTCCCGGACCCAAGGTGCATGCTGGCCTGAAATCGCACCTTCACCACATCTGTGGGCTGGGCACAGGTGACCGCCATGCCCCCTGTGGTGCAGCCTGCCAGAATCCGGGTAGTGATGCTGGAGTCTGCAAAGAAGGGAGAGAGAGAGAATGGGGTGGTGACCCCCCACACTTAACACTTCTCTAGGCCTCTGTAGGCCTGAGGCAGTTCTCTGTGGGGCTGTCCCTGCCCTGCGGCTCCTCTTCTCCTGAGTTGGGGTTTGGAGCTTCCTTGCCTTGACTGTGGCTCAGACCTCATTGATCTGTTACCAGCTTTCTAAGCTCAAGCTGCCTCTGAGTCTGCCCCACCCTGGTCTCCTGACCTGCAGGCCTAGATTCTGCTTCTGTCCGCCCCTTGAAGTCCTCAGGGTCTTGGGGACTCACGGTCGGAGCCTTTGGGGGTGTAGAACTGCTTGACGGAGTCGTAGAGGCCAATGCGGATGGAGGCGAAGCTCATCTGGCGCTGCAGGCCGGCGACCAGCCCATTGTAGGGGCTGAGGGGGCCCTCGGTGCGCACCATGGTCAGGATGGTGCCCAGCACGCCGCGGTACTGGGTGCTCCGGGCAGCCTGGTTCTCCCCCTGGATCTGAGGGACACCCCCCGCAGAGGTGTTAGGAACTTGGTGAGGAGTGGTGGGGCTGAATGCAGGGGGACTTGCCTGGGGCAGGCCCTGGGGAGAGCATGGTGTTGGCTGACACAGCCCAGTAAGAAAACTGAGGTTTGGGTAGCAGTTCACAGCTCACAGTCAACGTGGCATTTGATCTTATCAGCGAAGGAAGGGCAAATTGTTCTCCCATGTCAAAGGATCAGTGGCTCCCCTGTGGTCACACTGATTTCTTCCTTTGCTTCGTATCTTATGATTTGCAAAGTAGGCCTAGACCATGAACACCCCTTCATGGCCTGCCAAGGAATTATGGTTTTTTTGTCTTGGGCTGTGGTGATGAGGAGGAGGCAGGCAAGGGTCTTAAACAGCAGCGTGTGTGAGGAAGAGCGTGCCGGGGCTGAGGTGGAGAACTCTGCTCTTCCTTGTTGGTGACAACCCTTGGCCAAGGGCACTCACCTGCAGGCGGACCTTGGCCGTGTCCAGTGGGAAGGTGAGGAGGTCTGCAAAACAGGCTGCCGTGCCTGCCCCCAGGAACTTCACAGCCGTAGTGGGAGGCACTTCTGAAGGCTTCAGGCCAACCATGGTTCCAAAAGGTCTGTCTGATCCCTCCTCCTCAGAGGAGGTTCAAGAGAAGCTGAAGCCCTGGCTTCAGTACAGGGAGGATGCTGCAGGGGTCAGATGGAATCTGTGTCATGGGGGCCTGACCCCGGCTCCCTGAGGAAGGAGGTACTGGGGGAAGGGGAAGGGTGAGGGGGCAGGGGGTGTTCAGGAAATGATCATATAGGTTGGGTGAACTAGGTTTGTATTAAAGGAACCTGAGGCTCAGTCAGGGACCAGACCTGATTCTGACTCCACTAAAATTCTGTTCTCTCTCCCCACTATTATGCTGCTTTCTTGGGAAAGGCATCCTCCTCGAACATGTGCACAGCCTTCTAAATCTCATTACTTGAGGCCTTTTGTCTGAAATAAATGAAATAAATGTGCCTCATGATCAGTGGAGCTGTTGTCATCTTGGAGGATGACTTATTTTGAAGGTTGCCAGAATAATCATATTATACTTAAATGAAATCCTTTGATTTCTGTCACCAAAAAGACAATCAACCTGTCACTAGAAATGTGTCCTCTTAACACTGCCAAGATTCCTGGACTGACATTCCCTGTGGAGGTAGGAGGAAGATTTATTCTGGGTGCCTTCTGCTCTGCTTCCCAGAACTCAAGAGGGAGGTGGGGTGAAGAGGGAACTGCCCGCTCTGCTGTCCAAGCCATTGGGCTGTCCAGCCTACTTGACACATTCCCTTCCCATCTTTATCTCTTAGAGAGTGCCCCTCCTTAGACAGAGGACTATCAGTCTGGGGTCAAGGAAATGTGCCGTCCTTCTCAGGGGTGTGTACCTGTCTAATTTAATCTCTAGCTGATGGGGGCTGGGGGCTGAGGGACCATAGGGGAGGGGGACATTTGCATGTAAGGATCCTACTTTAGCCTTGGTTGCCTTGGGAAGCTGGCTCACCTGTCACTCTTAAACTTAGGCTTTTTTTTTTTTAATATTTATTTATTTATGCATACAGAACTGGGGTACAGGCCAGAGGTGCAGGGGCAGTGAGAGGATTCACCAGAGACAGAGTGGGGAGCAGAACAGGCAGATCTATAAAGTACACTGCTGAGGGGAGCCAGGGGCAGGTCAGGAGAGGTCTGCCAGCCATGTGGGTCACCTCTAGGGTGGGGATCGAACTGATGCTGAAGTGGCTTTTAGCCCTTAGTGCTGTGCTTTAATCCACTGTGCCACCAAGGAGGCCCCTACCTTGGGTTACCTGGATGTCTAGTGCTGATGCCATCTCTTAGCTGGTCACACCCATGGGTACCTCAGCTAAGACATACCTAGTGTGCTAGGATCCTGGGCCCTCAGTAGCCAGGGCTAGTCCCACTAGCCTACTATAATTGAGAAGTGGTGAGAAAACCTGAGCTCCTGCCTTGTCTTCATACTAAAAAGTGATATGACCTTGGAATTGTCATTTAACCACTCAGATAAATGGAATTAATGTATCACTGTTCACCAGAGGTAGCTTGGATGCTGGAGATGGGAAACTTAACTGCTTGAGGCTTCTTTCAAGACTGCCATTACTCTGCTTCTCTGCTCTCTGCTCCCTGCTCCAATTATACAGTCTCCAGGACTCTTATGCTTGCTGCCATCTCTCCCCGGAACGGCCTGTTCTTAAGAAGGAGCTGGTCTATTAATTCATGCTAAGATGTAAGTGACTGCCTTAATGGTCTTGAACACCATGGAAGGTGTTAAGGAAGGAAACATGGAATAGACCACATTTGGCCCTTCTTCTCAAGAGCTTGCATTCAGGAAGCAAACGAGATGTAGAGTTATCCAAAGGGAATGAAAGAGGTGGAATTCACCATCCTCTAGATCCCATTTCAGAAGTCTGGGCCATAGTGTGGAGGGACAACTTCTAAGTTCTGCCCTGAAGAAGGGGTTGCTTTCATTTTGATCCTTCACAGCATGAAGTTGCATTTAAATTAAAAAACAAAACAAAACAACAACTTAAAAACCTGGTATATTACTTACATGTACTGATTATGTGCATTTTAATGATCACTGAACTATAAAGGGATCTGTGTGCCAACTCTGGAATGCTAGGGCTGGCTACAGGGACAGGAGGCGGCTCTCTGGACAGAGACCTAAGCTGCACCCAAACACATGTAAATCAGAGCAGACAGTTCCACTATGCCAAAGCTGCGGAGCTCCCCCCTATGCCCCACTTCCTTTACTCATGACGGTCTTTCCCGTGGCCATGCACCCTTCCTCTGGCCCACCCCTCCAGGTCCTTCACTTGGCACTCAGGGAAACCCAGAGAACACGATTAAAAACACTCTTGTGTTGCCCACAGGGGATTCCCAAGGGGCCTGTGGGATGCAGACATGCTCGCAGATCACTGCTGTGCAGTGGACAAAACCAATGTCCAGGAAGGAACCACCAAGAAAGGGCTCAAGGGTGGGAGAAAATGCCTTCTTTTTTGTGAGGTGGATAAGAGCAATTTCAAGGTACAAGGTGGAAGAAAGTTCATAGAAGCTAGGCCTTGAAGGGTGGGCAGGGCTTCAGCAGCGGGAGCCTTGGGAAAGGGCTGAGCTTGTGCCCAGTGGCCCCACACTCAGGTCTCTGGTTCCTCCGCAGTGTTTCTCCTACAGCCTGTGGCTCTTTTCTGTGTTGCCTCCATGAGGGGCCCAGGAGGATCTGGCTCGTTGGGGGTGTAGTGTGAGGCCCATGGAGCTGGGCCTGGCAAAGGCGAGGGCACTACAGACCTGCTCCTGCCTCCTCTTCCACTTCCCTTTGCCCTACAGAAGACAAGCTGCTGCCAGGTCTGTCCCAGCAGGAGGCTGGTGTGTGTGTGTGTGTGATTGTGTGCGGACGTGTGCAGTTGCCTCTCCCAGTGCCCACGTCCCATTAACCTTCTTTTCCTAAGCCCTGACATTTCCCTTGCCCTTTGCCTCCTCTGGCACAGCTGGGCAAACTCCTGACCCACAGAACTAAGGAGGTCTTTAGGGACTATGATCTCTAATTAATCTTACTGGTTGCAGGAGAGTCCCTTGAATTCCAAGTCTTAGTGGTCACCCAGATTCTAAAAGAAACTACAAATTAGATTTTTTTACTCCATTCTCAGGGTCACAAACTGAGGCCCAGGTGTGTGGAGTGAGCTGTCCGAGGTCACACAGTGAGCAGGGGACCCTTCAGGCTGTGCGGCTCCGTTCTCTGCTCTTGGTTCCTGCTGGAGTTGCATGTTCTGCCAGGTCCTTCAGGGAGCACTTGGTGGGCCGTGGCTGGACCTCCTGCAGGGAGCACTTGGTGGGCCGTGGCTGACCCATAAAGGAGAGCTTCCTTTCCGTTCTGGACTGCCTTTGTCCCAGTTCTGGTCCCATACCTTTTTGTAGAATTAGCTCACTAACTGCAATGGTTTCCCCTTGAGATGGGAAGTGCCAAAGGCAGGGACAGGGTCTATTTCTCTGCAACCTGGTACAGGGATGGTCCAGAGCTGGAGGGGGCCAGAGAGGGCCAGCTGACCAAGGAACCCTCCTTACTGAAGCTGAGAAATGGGAAGTGACAGCTCAGACACCTATAGCGACCTTTGATGGGGGCCTGAGTGCCAGGGCTATACCTAATCTAGCGGATAGTGGGAGCAGTTATGGTTTTTGCATAGGGAGTGACAGGTCTGTGTTGAGAGCAGCTGGTGCAGGTGTCAAGGATGGGCTGGAAGGAAGAGATGGGGTGTACAGAGACCAGTGAGGAGGTTGTTGGGATGATGCAGTAAGAGGTGCTGATGTCTGAACTGGTTTAGAGCAGCAGTCTGGGGTGAAGCTGGAGTCCATGCCGTGGGCAGTCCTGGGTTACCCATGGGCATCAGAGTGAATGGGTGTGGACATGGTCAACAGCTGCACTTTGGGGGCAGGTCTCTAGAATGTCCATGGGTCAAGTCAGGCAGAGGCCACAATGGTGGGGACAGGTAGAGGCTGTCTGAGACTGGTACTCCCCCACCTCCTTCCTCCTTTACTCCAACCTCCAGCATTGTAACCTGAGGAACCCAAGCAGCAGTAGACCTCTGCTACGGGCCCTAGAGGAAGATGTGGAGAGCAGATGCTCATTTCTCTAGCTCTGCTGGGGGCATTTGAGGGAAGGAATGCTCCAGTCAGTGTTGCCCATTACCACTTGCTGTGTGCTTCCTGAAGCAGGCGCCATGCTGAGGAGTATAACCGTCTAGAGGCTACAGTGTAGTAGCTCTAGTAGCTTCTTTGTAAACCAGGGGTCTGAGGCTTTCAGGGCTGCAGCCAGTGATAAGGCTGAAGAACCAGAGCTGCACTGGAACGAGGGCTGTCTGGCTCCCTTGCCTGCCCCACCACCCAGTGTCTGAGACTTTGGAGAGAGCTCAGGATCCCCGGAGCTGCTCATTTGCAGAATGGATTCTTGGCCCTCACCCAAGGAGATCCTGATATAGCAATTGGCGAGACCTGGGAATCTGTACTACACACAAATTCCTGGTGGTAGCTCTGAATCAGAAGTCTGAAGACCCCATTTTGAGAAATGTTGCCCAGTACCATAATGTAGGTCCCCCTGTCTGGCCTCTAACAAAGCCCCCACA